CAGGAAGCTCAATGGGGAAAGCGGATGCTTTATCTAGAAGAGAGGATCATGCCAACGGCATTGAAGATGACAACAAAGGTGTCACCCTGATAGATCAATCAAGGGTCGCCAATGTTAGAATCAGGCAAGATTCCGACCTCCTAGAAGTCTTCAGGAAAGACATCTCCCCAGAGGAAAAAATGTGCCTTGACGGCAATGAAAACTATTTATGGAAAGACGGGCTCTTTTATTTCAAAAACAAAATCTATGTGCCTGAGTCCGCAAGGATCAAGGCAATAGATAGACATCATGACACTCCAGTGGCTGGGCACCCTGGATGGCAACGAACGATGGAGTTGATCTCCAGAAACTACATGTGGCCTGGCATGGTCAAAGACGTACAGGAATATGTAAAATCCTGTCTGAGATGCGCCATGGCCAAGAATTCCCATCAACCGCCGGCGGGTAAACTCATGCCGAACCCGATACCAGCTGGCCCCTGGCAGGATATATCGGTGGACTTCACGACGGATCTGCCCGAGTCAAACGGGTACGATTCAGTAATGGTGGTAGTAGACCGCTTCTCCAAAGAAGTGGTATTCATACCCACCAACAAAACCATCACCGCCGCCGGTACGGCAGACCTATTTAAAGATTTCGTATGGTCAATCCATGGGTTACCAGAAACGGTAATCTCCGATAGAGGACCGCAATTCGCTAGCAAATTTACGAAAGAATTATGCCGGATGCTGGGCATCAAACCTAAATTATCCACGGCGTTCCATCCGCAAACCGATGGACAAACGGAGAGACTCAACCAGGAGTTGAAACAGTATCTCCGGATATTTATGAACGACAGACAGACAGATTGGGCCAAGTGGCTAAAGATAGCCCAGTTCTCTTATAATATTAAACAGTCTTCGGCTACAGGAAGGGCACCATTCGAGGTTACTAGATCGTACCTCCCCAGAATGGGTGTAGAACCTGGCAAAAGCAAAAACGAGGCTGCTGGGAACATGGCAAAAGACATGAAGTCTGTCTTGGATGAAACGCGCAAAGTGCTATTTAAAACTGCGGAGCAGATGAAAGACAGGGCAGAGCATAGACGCTTTAAGGCCCCTGATTACAAGGTCGGCGACCTGGTCTGGTTAGACACCGACCACTTGAAATTAAAAGACCGGCAGTCTAGAAAACTGACCGAAAAGTGGATTGGCCCTTACCGGATTAAGGAAGTCAAACCTAATGCGGTGGAGCTGGAACTCCCAAAACGAATGAGGGTGGTACCCACGGTTAACATTAGCCGTGTGAAACCCTACAAGGGACCGCTGCCGGGACAGCGCGTAGACTGGCCCGGTCCGGTAGTAGTCACCCAGGAAGGTGAAGAAGAGTTCGAAGTTGAACGGGTGGTAGATGCACGCTTGAAGTGTGGAAAATTAGAGTTCCTGGTCCTATGGAAGGGCTACGGAGACGAGGACAGAACGTGGGAACCAGAATCCCATCTGGAAAACTCCCGCAACGCTGTTCGCAAATTTTATTCTAGGAATCCCTCAGCTCCCAGGAAGCTTAGAGGCATGGATTCAAACCTTTTTAATTCCCTCTTTCAACCTATGCCCGAAAATTTTACCACTACCTCCGGAATTTGGTCTCGCCTGGAAGTCGAGCCTTAGAAGGGGGGTAGTGTTACGATAACACAATTTCCGGACATCTCCTTTCCTTTTTATTCTCCGCTTTAACTTTATAATTTAAGTGCCACGCGGCATTTCCCTTTCTCGCGCCGTGTTGCCTTTCTTTTACTTTTAGACTTAACTCTCTCACGCAGTGGAGCTGGCCATACGGGCTAGGCCCTATGACATCATCAGCCACTGCCTTCATCAACTGTATAGTACACATGTACAAACAAACCTGTAGTAGTATATATACCCCAATAGATCCAGGAGACTCCTCAGCGAGTCCTCCTGTTGTATACCAACTAACTCACTGCAGCCCAAGGGGTACCCACTCCCCATCTTCCACTACCTTTATAGTGTGTTCCTGTGTGCGCCAGAGTAACTAACTCTTGGTTGTTACAGCCATTTTGGGGCAATGGAGGGCTTCTCGTAGGACAATGCGAGAGTGCCTGTTCCTATTTGGCAGATTGATCATAATGTTGCCCTTGCCTAAGACAAACATAGATTAGCCATCTGCAGCGCTGACGGGAATCGGTTCAATGGACTTGTAGTCTTTAAATTTTGTCTGATCCGGGCAGAAGTGGTCACTGGCTCCACAATCAATGATTGCATGATCCAGGTGGGCCGATATACTGGCTCTGTTGACTGATGTACTTGTATTTGCAGCAAAGGCATATATTCCGTCATCATCTCGGTTATGTGCATTGGCTATGTTTGCAGAAGTTGCTGGTTTAGGGATATTGGTCTGCGTTACAGAGCTGGAGGAGCTTTCATTTGTGGAGCATTTATTTTTTGGTGCTTGCCCTTCTTTTCCACCTCTGGGTGCAAAACAGTTCTCTGTTGTGTGACCAGTTTTGACTTTGCAGCTGAGATTGAAACATTTAAGCTTCTTGTGCCTTTCTGCACAATGTTTGGCTCTGCCAGTGATTTTTGCAGCCATGGATGTTTCTCCTTTAGATCGAGATGTGATTGCCCTATGGTCTGCTTCCTCGAGGATGTAGGCTGTGAAGTCTATCAAAGACAGCTGATTTTTGGTGATTCTTGTAACAACCAAGAGTTATTTACTCTGGCGCACACAGGAACACACTATAAAGAAGATGATGGGGAGTGGTTACCCCTTAGGCTGCAGTGAGTTAGTTGTGCTAGACAACAGGAGGACTTGTCCTTCCCTATGTATTGCTCTTGTATATAGTCTAGACACTGGTCAGGTGATATGTCACATGACTGGTCATGTGACTATGAAAAGTTGAAAATGTAAAGTAAAGTAAATGGTCACATGACTGGTCATGTGACTTGGAAAATAAAAGTAGAAGTACAAAAGTGAAGCGTAAGTAGGTGCTGGTATGTTAATTGTAACAATACTTGCAGCTGCAATTATGGAAGAGAGGAGGGGTCGATATGATTCTGGAAGTGAGGAGTGTTACAATACACATTTTTGGACCTTTAAGTTTCATTTCTCCTCTTTAACTTTATACTGTAGTTTTCACACACTGTGCCATGCAGCACTTTCCATTTTGTTCAAACTCCACCTTCTTGCGCTACACTGCCTTTATTCTTATTTTAGCTACAAGTCTCTCACGCAGTGGAGCTGGTCACATGGGCTGCGCCCTCTGACATCATCAGCCACTGATTTTATCAACTGTACAGTATATAAGTACAAACACTCTGTATTAGTATATATACCTCAATAGATCCAGGAGACTCCTCAGCGAGTCCTCCTGTTGTATCCTCACAACTAACTTGTTGAAGCCTAAAGGGTAACCACTCCCTCATCATCCTCTCTATAGCTTGTCTGAGTTATGCGCCAGAGTAACAAACTCTTGGTCGTTACAAGGAGAGTATCATGGCTGAGAAGTCCTTTTCATCAATTGATGCACCCATTCCAGCCAGTTGCTCTCGCAGTTTCATCATTTCCCCAAGGTGGGATCTTACATTGCCATTGTCTGGGCATCTCATGTCCTGGAGACGGCAACGCACATCTATTTGCATCATTTCCGTTTTCCCTTCATGCATGAGGCTGATGAATTCTCATATTTTGGCTGCATTGGATCTATCAGAGATGTGGATGAGGGTTCCGTCATGAATTGTGGAGTAGAGTTGTTGCATAACAAGGCATTCCTTTTGTGTATACTCATCCAACTTTGATTCATAGATGTCAATTTCATCCTCTGTGACAGTGGTTCCATCTTTTTGTTGGGCTATGCCATTTTTATCCCAAGTATACTCTAGGAATTTTGGCAGATGAGCAGTGCCATTAAGGTGTTGAGTTAGTCCTTGAGCTCCTATGGCTGTAACAATACAAGTTCTATAGGTGACCCAGTTTGAACCATCTTTGGCTAGTTTTGGGACTACAAAAGCAGAATTTGAGTTTGTGGAAAATGACATGTCGAGATTGCTACCATGGCTCATAACCTGTAAGAGAAAATGTCTAAAAGGTAGAAGTAAGTTATTGTAGTGTGATGTAAGTGTAAATGGCATACCTCAGTCTGATTATTAGAAGACTGAGGTTGTTGAGAAAAAGAAAGTCCGAGTTTTGTGTAGGTGTGGGAATGTCCGATAATTATGTAATGTGCAAAAGAGCGGTTTTTAGAGGAAAGAGAATAGAGAAAACATATGAGAAGCATATATGAATGAGTAGGTAAAGAATATCTCAACAGGTGTAATGCTTATCATTGTTGTGCAGTGTTTCCCCAGTCGAAGAGCTCTGGTAGCCGCTCTAGCTGACCTTGAAATATTTCATTCAGCGCATTATTACCGTCTTTCTGCCTCCAAGCAAACTGTCATGATGGGCAGGTTTGCACCGAAAATGGAATTCTGGCTGTTCCGGTTGCACTGGCAGATTGGAGCTGACATCCGTCCCCTGCCCAGACCAGAGTTGACATACTGATAATGGGCGGGATTTTCAGCTCATCCGTCCATGTTTATACTTCCAAATTCAAATCCCAATCCAGGCCATTCGTCGAAGGCAGAATGATGCATGAAATCGGGACCAGTCAAGCTGTCAAGACAATCTGGTATTTACTACCTTCTTGTTATTTTTGAATTATCAAGGTTTTGACTTTTTTCTGTGTTGACAGGTTATATAGCCTGTGCAAGAACGTATATGGGTATTCAATCAGCTGAAAATAGTACGGCGTGTTGTCCAGTGCTCACGCCCGTCACGGATCTCTCAGGGGGTTGGCATGACATGGCCAATTAGCTCCTTTCGATTCCTGCCGTGTAGGAGCCTAGCCCAATTCTCGCACCCATCCCTGCGAATCAATACTACAATGGCAGTCGGTATCTCATGTGCGCATAGCCGTGAGCATTCAAATTTCCGCAAGTCCCCACCACAAGTCCCTCGCTCTCTCGCATAAATCCTCGACTCTCATCGTTGTTATCACTTATTGGACTTTCGTCATCATGGCCACGACAAACGGCGATTCTGCTGCACCCCGTCTATCTCTGAATGATTTACGATTGGCCGAGTCCGCTCCTGCATCTTCTACCCCTACCCTTGATGAGGCGTCTGAGAGAAACTCGAACGACGGCCCTGTCCATCCTAATCCACCTCTATGGCCACATCGTCTCTCAGCATCCTTTTCTGCAATGGCTGAGCAGATCGCCGCTACTTCACAAGCTCTTGCGCAGATCCCTCCTTCAGCTTTCACCACGACAGAACAACCTCCGGAAATCAATGTACTCAAATCTCGCTTGGATGATATAGAAAAAACGCAGCAGCGTATGAGTGCAGAATTTGAAGCATTGAAAATTCAATTTACGCACTTGGACACGGAGAGTGGACCGTCACGAGAAGATCTGGACAAAAAGATCGCTGATCTTACTGAGATAGTGAAAGCAGAGTATGGATTATGTTTCTTAGAGAATTCTGTAAACTTTCTGAAATTCCCCGAAATGACCAGTCAGTCTCGACTGTACTCGCGACTACACAATTCTCGCTGCACAGTTTTGAAGACGAAGATCAAGGCACCTCCAACCGCTAACGGGAAGCCGCCACCGAATTTTCCGGCTACGAGAGGAGAATTTGAGCACGTCACGAGTTGAGTGTTCTTTCCCTGATTAGCTAGATGGTGTCCCTCTGTATCTGCGCTCGGATCTGTTGCTGACTTTGCATCGTTTAAATCTGTCTGTAGAAGAGCGCTACGAAGCGATTTTGAAGGCATACGGCTTGCCTATCAAAGGTGATACAGACGCCAAACGAGAGGCCGTTCGGGTATATGTTGGTTTGCCAGAGGATAACTGAGTTAGGAATGGTTCAATGTAGACATGGAACTTTGCACGGATGTCCCTTTCACGCTTCTGCCACCCGCGTACGCTTTCCGAATTTATCATGGGCGCTCGATCCGATGCCTGCTTTGATCAGCTGAATGGCCTCGCCTAAGATTAATTTCCATAACCTACTTGTAGCCCTCCCATTCCAGAAGTTTTTTGATGTATCCCTGTAAGCTTGGTAAACGTTTGATGACTTACAACTCCGAACAGTTTTGTCTACGTGTCCTCATAACCCAGCTCGGACTGCACACCATCATTCCTCTTCCTTTGCATGCGATACATATAACGCACAGGAAATTTGCTGTATTTGTTTTCTGATTGCCATCAGGTTACAGACCGTTGCCTCCAAAAGAATCATATCCATCCCGAATCCCATCACTAATATATTTATACCATTGATAAATTTATGCCTTATCGTCAGCTAGCAGCCGTTCTCTCCCTTCAACGCCCTTTCAACCGCACCTCCATGTCTTCTTCCCAGCAGCACCCAGTTCTCTCCCGTTTGTTCTCTGCCAACGATGAGTGGGCAAAGGCCGTTGAAGATGTCGAGCCAAGCTTTTTCAGGACTTCTGCAATGGGTCAGGCCCCGAAAGTTAGCTCATATCATCATCTTCAGAAGGCCTTCTATCTGATAACTTGACAATTTGTATTTGTTGCCAATCAAGATTCTTTGGATTGGCTGCTCCGATTCAAGAGTACCTGAATCGGTCATTACCGCCTCCAAGCCGGGCGACATATTCGTGACTAGGAATATTGCAAAGTAAATCTCTAGTTCACGAGGTGGCTCAAATATGACTGATTTTTTCTCTCCTCTTCCTGCGTTATTTTTGGCAGTCAATTCCATAACGACGATGATAATGCCCTTTCAGTACTTTACTATGCCGTGAAGCACGTCGGCGTAGAACACGGTGCATCTTTTCTAATTATCTTGCACTGAGACGCTATTCCAACCTTCTTTATCGCGCACCGTCCCCCGTTTTACAGTTGTCATCGTCGGCCACACCCAATGCGGCGGTGCCGAAGCTTGCCTTTCCGCTGCCCAAAATGCCATGAACAGCGGTGCGACCGAAGCTCCCCCGACTCTCGACGCTCTACCTCCCAATGCGCACATCAACAAATGGCTCGCGCCTGTGACAGCACTCGCTATGCCGATCGCGCCCCTCAAGCTCGAGCGGAGCGCCGCGATGCGTATGTTGGTGGAGGAGAACGTGAAAGCCCAGGTGGCCAGGGTGTGCGAGACGGATACCATCCGCGATGCCTGGATCCAGCCTCCGCATGGTAAGCCTGTATACGTCCATGGCTGGGTCCACGAAATAGAGAGCGGACGACTTTGCGATTTGAGCGTTTCGAGAGGTCCCCTGTTGTAATCGCACGTGCGGGAGACTATTAGAGTCTAGAAGAAGCCCTTCGGTGGCATATATATTTTTAGATGAGTGATATGTATTACTTTTACAGTGGTTACTGCAAGGTTATACATATCTTTGATGGACATGAGGCTTGTCTTGACTTGGTCATTCACACTCTGACCGTTTAGCCCTTTCTCATCTGAGCCATCCAATCGACCCAGATGGAAAAACGACCTTGACCAATTGTGATTTTTTCCCAAAGTAGGCTTCAGAAGGCGCCTTGTACATGGCCACGATGCAAGGCCTCGGACGTTGGACAGACTGCAGATCTTGATGTGAGCGAGAGTGCAACGTATACGCAACGTGCCTGCTAATCTTTTTCCAGTAGCAAGTAGGCCTTGGTGGAATAGGAGCTTCTTTTTTTTGACAGGAAGCATGCTCATCTGTTTGTGCGCTCCGTCGAATCTTTTTTGCAATAGCAAGTGGAATAGGACCTTCTTTTCTTGAACAGGAAACATGCTCATCTGCTTGTGCGCTCCGTCGAATTCACTTCCTTACTACATCTCGAATGGACCACAGGAGCTGGCCGATCTCCGTGAGCCAGTACAGCCATAGCCCACCACCGTATCTGTCCTGCCATACCTGCCTATTTTTACTATCCAGCTAAGGCTATGAATACCCCCCCTAGCTATTCCCCAGCTATAAAATCTCCACTTCAAGTCCCAGCTTCAACCACCCCCACAATCCTAGTGCCCCCTCCACACTGACACAACCATGGCCTCAAAACCACCCGCCATCCTCGCTCGCCTCCTCTCCGGCAACGAAGAGTGGGCGAGAACGCTCAAATCCGCAGCCGGAGCTGGGTTTTTCAAAGGGGAGGCAGAAGGCCAGTGGCCGAAAGTGAGTGCGAGGTTTCGCTGTGCATGCATGCGATACATAACCTTCTGGTCCTGGTCATTTTATCTGATTGTGCCACTTTTGGTCTTATCCCCATGGTTAGATTCTTTGGATTGGGTGCTCCGATTCCAGGGTGCCAGAATCTGTGATAACGTCTTCTATGCCTGGCGACGTCTTTGCGACTAGAAATATCGCAAAGTACGTTTCCCCCCTTCATCTGACTACAGGCCCAACCATCCTAACGCCATGATACCTTTGCACAGTCAAGCTCACATTGATGACGACAGCTTCCTTTCAGTCCTCTACTATGCCGTAAAACACGTTGGTGTGGAGCACGGTGCGTTTCCCTGCACTGATGAGAATGCTCTTCCGACCGTTTCGTCTCACCTTTCGTAATTTCAGTCATCGTCGTCGGCCATACTCACTGCGGAGGCGCCGAAGCCGGATACGCCGCCGCCCAAAAGGCCATCAACACAGGCTCGAGCGTGCCCCCTCCCGTCATCGATACCCTCCCCCCGGATGCCCACATCAACAAATGGCTCGCGCCCCTCTCAGAGCTGGCCATGCCCATCGCCGCCCTCGCCCTCGAGACCGAAGATGCGTTGCGCATGCTGGTGGAAGAGAACGTGCGGACGCAGGTGCACCTGGTGAGCCAGACGGAGACGATCCTCGAGGCTTGGGATCAGCCTCCGCAGGCTCGACATGTGTTTGTGCACGGATGGGTGTATGATGTGGAGCATGGACGACTTCGAGATTTGAATATCTCAAGGGGTACACGCGAAACAAACTATCATCCTGCCTACTTCTAGGGGTGTTGATAGGAAGGCGGAAATAGGATTATTCAGAAAACGGAATCAGATCAATCTCTGCATACAACATGTACATGTACTCGAACTTTCAAAGAATGAAGTGTAATATACGTCTGTCATACTGTGTAAAAAAACGTAACCTGTGGTGTACCGTCCATCGGGCTCCAAGACATGCATGAACAAATGTAGGGACATGGCTTACAAGCAACAGGTTATAAAAGTAAGCAAGATGGTACTATGCATAACAAGTATGAGACGAATGGGAGATCCTATGGATATTAACAAAATCGAGGGGGAGACACTCTAACACAACTGTTAGACAGTTTGTGCGAGTGCTCCAAAAGTATCAAATACTGGAGAAAGTAAGAAAGCTATGGGGGGTCCACGGTCCATCGGCGACGGCCTATGTATACTAATCAGGAAACCACGCATATTAACATATGACGCAGCACTTGAGCCCTCCGCTTGCAGTTTCGCCATTCGGCACCCCATTCCTGTTGCTGCTCTTCCTCCTATGGTGCGCCGACGAAGGCACACCCTCTCGCATGAGCATGCTCGCCCGCGTAGCAGCCTCAAATACGTCATCGACACCCTCGATCTTGAGTGCTGAACACTCCTTGTACGCCCGCGCACCAATCTCTTGAGCTACTCGTTCTGCTTGTGCCCGAGAAACATATTGGCCGCTGTTTGATGAGTTGGGCGGAGGTCGTAAGTCCGCTTTGCATCCCACTAAGAGAATGGGGATGGTGGGGCCGCATATCGTCCTCACTTCTTCAATCCACTGAAGCGGAACATGTCAATGGTGTGCGACCATCGCCGAGATAATTGGAAGACGTACTTTGACTGTCACATTCTCGAGAGAATCAGGGGTGTCGATGGCAAACGCGATTAGGATCACGTGAGATTTTGAATATGAGAGGGGTCGTAAACGCTAATGGAGGGCAATCAGTATGGCTCATTCACAAGGCAAGGCATGGGATAGAATGGTCATACTTCATATTCTTCTTGACCACTGTGGAATAGCAGAGATAAGCTTGGGTTAGGAGAGAAAGCAAAGGGAATACGAACGCAGTATCCCACAGGGCCAACTGTACGGGTTTTCCGTCTAGTCTGATCTCAGCGACATAATTTTCGAAGATGGCTATGAAGATGGGTAAGTGGGAAGCGGCAAGGGTCAGAACACGAAACTCACTTGGTTGCTGGAAGAGGAGAGGGCAAAGACTCCCGATTTAGAGCGTGGAGCGGTGAAAGCGCAGCAGAGGAGTGACTCACATATTCTTTAGGAAATTCACCCAGAGCAAAGGAACAGAGAAGAGAGGTCTTTCCACAGGCACCTAGATATGGGGGATGGACATATGGTGGTTACTGAGAAGAAGCGCAAGAGAGTGGCACGACATACCGTCGCCGACAATGACGAGCTTCCTGCGAATCTAGCAGAAAAAGGCTGAGGAATGAGGAGGAGAGAGGGGGAGAAATGCTTACTGGGTTCTGTGTGGCCATGGCAAGATAGAAGGAGTGAGTGGTACAGTTATTCGGATCGGACTTTTACTGTGAGACAGTTGTGTCGCCAGAGCGAAGAAAAGAAAAGCGAGGATTACAAAGATGGGTAAGGATGTATTTAAGAAAGAGAAAAGAGAAAAGAAAGAGAAACAAGTGCTGGTTGTTCAGCACAAACGTGAGCTCGTCAACACTGCCTGTGAGCAAGACCAAGGTTTATACAACAGCCACTGCGCCCTACACACTCCCTTATGTAAGCATCCCACCGCCTTGTTCCCCTTCCTTTCCCCGGTTCACCCATGGCCTCTCTTCTCCGTAATCACTCTCTTCTGTATTTCTACATAGCTTTCTGGTGCAGCGGGCCCCATCCGAATTCGCCGGTAGAGACATTACCATTCTGTCCTCCCACCTTGGCCCCAGCTAGTCCTGATACGGTACCCGGCCCCCCTGTGCCGGGTGTGAACCACAGTATCAACCTCTCTTGTCCAAGATAATCGCCTCGAGGGAAGACAGCGTGTGCATTCGATAGCGCGGATCATGACGGACAACTGCTCATCGTCGCATATCCACCACCGCCGGCTTCTCTCCTCGTATCAGCCATGTCATCTCGTGGGTGCAATGAGCCGTTTTGTCGACGGCAAGCACTGAAATAATCCATGCGAGTCATTTGGAATGACTCCCTTTTAGATGCCGCGGTTGCCGCATTTGGTACTCCGGTCCATGGCATATTCCTGGTACCGTCAGGTAACCAGGCCCAGTGAAAAGTCATTCTATATAAATCTGTATAATTTGTGCAAATGACGCATCAATGCAAAAAACTAACAGGTTAGCTGACTTTGGAATTGATGTATATAGAATTGTATTGGCCTGTATTGAATTATGTAGAAATTTGGCAGTATTCACGATATTTTTCGATATAATTCAATAGAGATTCTTCATAGCTTTAGAATCATATAGAATCATATAGAATTTGTTGTAGCACATCTCAGGGTAAAAATTTGAGAATATCAATATAATTCTATTCGTTTCAATATAAAAAAACACAGCGCGAGAACAATCTAAAGAGTATACAACTCACCACTTCTTTTACCCAACAGGTTGCAGCAAGAGTAAAGTGAGAATTTAATGAGTATATTAGCATAGTATATGTGAAACAGAACAGATACATATCTTCCACCGCATATAGCCAAGTGCGTGAATGTTGGACCTAAAAAGAGTATGGCTGTGAACAGCAGTAGTAGTAGCATAGATGTACATAATACCTTACAGCGCATACAGCCAAGCACGTGAATGTTGCTGAAAAGATTATGGTTGAGTATATTTATGCACATATAGTGGTGGGAAGTACTTACAGTGGCAACAAGGAACAAATATGCAGGATGTAGTTCAGAGAGAAAGATCTAGAGTGTTGTTTAAAATCTCTCAAAGTCAACAGAAAGCTATAAATGATATCATATTATCAACAAGAGTAAACAACTCACTGAGTCAGCGTGTCTTGTGTTATGAGATGGAAGCAGAGTTAACTCAAGTTGTGTCGAGCACTTGAGCACATGTATTGAGATATATGATTGTGAGTGCACTGATGTCATGCGATGATGGGCCTGTGTTCAGACATTACCGGACACATTCACAACTTTTCATATAGATTTATGCACAATTATATTTATCTATATAGGTCTATAACTAATTATACAGAACAACTTTTCACTGGGAACCAGGTCTTACGACCAATGATTGACACTGGATCTGGCATTGGTCAGTTGCTCTGGTCATCTGTGTAACGACCAAGAGTTAGTTACTCTGGCGCACACAGAACACACTATAAAGAAAATGATGAGGGAGTGGTTACCCCTTAGAATGCAGAGAGTTAGTTGGTGTACAGCAGGAGGACTCGCTAAGGAGTCTCCTGGATCTATTGGGGTATATATACTACTACAGGGTTATTTGTACATATATACTATACAGTTGATAGCAACAGTGGCTGATGATGTCATGGGGCCTAGCCTGCATGGCCAGCTCCACTGTGTGAGAGAGTTGTGTCCAAAATAAGAAGAAAGGCAACGCGGCGCGAGAAAGGGGAAGTGCCGCGTGGCACTATAGTACAAGGTTTAAAGCGGAGAGTAAAAGTAAAGGGAAGGTCCAAAAATTGTGTTATCGTAACACTACCCCCCTTCTAAGGCTCGACTTCCAGGCGAGACCAAATACCGGAGGTAGTGGTTAAATTTTCGGGCATAGGTTGAAAAAGAGAATTAAAAAGATTTGAATCCATGCCTCTAAGCTTCCTAGGAGCTGAGGGATTCTTAGAATAAAATTTGCGAACAGCGTTGCAGGAGTTTTCCAGATGGGCTTCTGGTTCCCACGTTCTGTCCTTGTCTCCATAGCCCTTCCATAGGACTAGGAACTCTAATTTACCACGCTTCAAGCGTGCATCCACCACCTGTTCGACTTCAAACTCTTCTTCACCTTCCTGGGTGACTACAACCGGTCCGGGCCGGTCTACACGCTGTCCCGGCAGCGGCCCTTTGAAGGGTTTCACACGGCTTATATTGACCGTGGGTACTACCCTCATTCGTTTTGGGAGTTCCAGCTCCACCGCGTTGGGTTTGACTTCCTTAATCCGGTAAGGGCCAATCCACTTTTTGGTCAGTTTTCTAGACTGCCGATCTTTTAACTTTAAATGGTCGGTATCTAACCAGACCAGGTCGCCGACCTTGTAGTCAGGGGCTTTAGAGCGTCTATGCTCTGCCCTGCCTTTCATCTGCTCTGCAGTTTTGAATAGCGCCTTGCACGTTTTGTCTAAGACAGACTTCATGTCTTTTGCCATGTTCCCAGCAGCCTCATTCTTGCTTTTATCAGGTTCCACACCCATTCTGGGGAGGTACAATCTAGTAACCTCAAATGGTGCCTTTCCTGTGGCCGACGACTGTTTAATATTGTATGAGAACTGGGCCATCTTTAGCCACTTGGCCCAATCCATCTATCTGTCATTAATAAATATCTGGAGATATTGCTTCAACTCCTGGTTGAGTCTCTCCGTTTGTCCATCGGTCTGCGGATAGAACACCGTTGATAATTTAGGTTTGATGCCCAGCATCTTGCATAATTCTTTCGTAAATTTGCTAGCGAATTGTGGTCCTCTATCGGAGATAACCGTTTCTGGTAACCCATGGATAGACCATACAAAATCTTTAAATAAATCTGCCGTACCGGCGGCGGCAATGGTTTTATTGGTAGGTATGAATACTACCTCTTTGGAGAAGTGATCGACTACCACCATTACTGAATCATACCCATTCGACTCGGGCAGATCCGTCGTGAAATCAACCGATATGTCCTGCCAGGGGCCAGCTGGTATCGGATTTGGCATAAGTTTACCGGCCAGCCGTTGATGAGAATTCTTTGCCATGGCACATCTTAGACAGGATTTTACGTATTCCTGTATGTCTTTGACCATGCCAGGCCACATGTAGTTTCTGGAGATCAACTCCATCGTTCATTGCCACCCAGGGTGCCCAGCCACTGGAGTGTTGTGATGTCTATCTATTGCCTTGATCCTTGGTGCAGCGGTAGTATCATTAATTTTACAATCACATTGCTTCATACAAGTACATATTTCCGATAACAAATTTAAGAATCTATTTACAAATTGGGGAGCCATCCCTGTCTTTCCTTTATTGCTCGTGCAACACCCCAGAGCAGGGGCCACCTTGTTGTGGTTTACTTCATTGTTCATAGGAGCAAAGGCACCCAAGTGACCTAAGCTCCGAACTCTTTTCCCTGAGTCTTCATCTCAGCGACCTGCTGGTCGTAGAAGAAGGCCCGGATTTCGTCGTACGAATGACCGGCCAGAGTATTGAGCCAATCGTCCGGCTTTTCAGCTTCTAATTGGTGCGCCTGGCGCCCTTGAATTTTTTGTTGAGCAACCTGCACTCCATTTGGACACTTTCGGGCTATGTGCCCCTCCTGCCCACAGTTGTAGCAGGTGAATCTGCGCGTTGTCGATGATGAGAACTGTAGTTAGAAAACCACACACAAAACAAACTAACACACAATCCTCCCAGATTCCACGGAACTTGTTTATGGGCTTTGCCTCCTAGAACAGTGGAGTGGTCTGGTTGTTCGTGGGGTGGTACGTATAAAGATCCTTCAAAGTAAAACCCAGAGGTGTATGAGTGTGGGTTTTGAGGAGGAGGGATAGTTGAATTTATAGAAGGATAGGGGCTTTGTGACGAGTATAGACAAGCACTACCTTGCTAATCGTAGCACAAGGTAGGTTTGAGAACGACAAGGACGACAAGGTTCCCAGTGATAGCAGGCTCCTGACGCACAAACCGTAGTGCTCAGAAGGACTCTAATTGAAAGGGATGACAATGACTTCAAAAGTGGGAAGTGACGATGACAGCAGTTGACAGTGGTAGAAGTGGGAAGTGTTGTGACCACACTGGATCACAAGTAGCCGAGTAGTGAACTTGAGAGTAGAGAAGAAGTCTGGATTTGAGTTCTTGTTGTTTTTTACAAGGTAAAATACAGGGGTTTATATAGTAAAAGAGAAGTAGGCTATGCACAGTATAGCTGTGCAAAAAGAATGAGAAAGAATATGAAGGAAGGAATGTACGCTGACGAATCCTGCGTAGGTAGTACAGGATAAGATTGTCAAAAAAAGAAAAGAAAGGGATAGAACAATAAATGCTGTGAGTAATATCACAGGTTTGTACAGCCATAAAGTAAAGTCCAATAGCAAAAAGAGAGCAGGAGAATCATGATGTCATGGGAAGATGCAGTAAAAAAAAGGCAAGGCAAAACACTATCAGTATCAACACAGTTCCTTTATTGTCAGTCAGGCATTCTAAAAAAATATGTGTCCATAAAAATGATTCAAAAATCAAAAATAATCGCACTGTAAATGAATGTTCTGCTGAAAAAAAAGAAACTGGAGCCACCGGTCCACCACGTAGTCCAAATCTGACAGTTCCATGGCCTTACCAATGGACTGGTTGTGTTGGACCACCTGGTCAAACGAGGGAGGGAGAGGAGTAGTTCCAATTTGGAACAAGTGAGTCCCAGGCAGCGTGTGGTAGGTGTAGCTGTAGCGAAGACGATGGGCAAAAGATAAGTGTACCCAAGTGAATGGGACCGCGATGAACATGGGCGACGCAAGGGGATGAACCTTCTCCAGCTCAAAAATTACCCACCCACGCTCCAACCAGGCAAGACGAGCGACCGATGTTTTGATAGTATATGATGGCAGATCGACATCATGAAGATGGACCTGTTGCCCTATTTGGACCGGCCGCCGGGGCTTTGCTGATATCAGCAGTGGCACGTGGTGGTCAACGGATCGGCGACGGAAGCGGATAGGAAGTGGTGACATCAGAAATGGTGGGGGAGCAAAGAAGATGAGGAGGAGGAGGGTGGAGGTGACAAGGAGGTGAACTAAAATGGGGACCCAGAAACGACCGTCGGGTGAGAATAAAAAGGAGAGGAAGGGGCCCATGGTGGGGCTAGGCAAAGGAAGGGGAGTAAGGGAAACGACAAAAGCGAGGGCGCAATGCAATGTGTAGCCAGTGGCGACGCAAAAATTTGCCGAAATGCCGAAATGCCGAAAGTACCGGATGGAAAAGCAAAGGTGAGCGTGACTGGATTGCCTAATAGAGGTGGTGCTGATCAGCCACAAGTTCGAAAAGGGCAATATTAATTACTATTCCACGTGGCACTGTGCCTGTGTGGCGCAAAGGCGAGTCTTTTTGAATATTCGCTTCGTTATTGACACCTGTCCATGCTACCAATCAACTTTGGTGCATGACAGCGTCTGTTCGCCCTGGACTGCGCCAATATCCATAGGAGCACCCCAACCTGGTTGCGGCCCAAATGGCTGGAACCCGTGAGACTGTTGTTGTTTTTGGTTTGATAACCCAGGGCGCCTCTTGGATTCATTGTTTTTGGTGGTGGACCCACCACCTTGGTGCATTTGGTAGAGCTCCATGGCTCTACCGATTCGTCGTACTTCCTCAGCCGCTAGGGCCAAGTTCTCGTTTCTAGTGTCTTGCAGATAGATCTGTTCTGCAATGCGAGGGTTCACATTGCGTTCCAGCAGTTCTACTGCGTGTTCATTTCCAAGCCTTCCTTGGATGGAAAGGGCCAGGAATCTAGTGACGTAATAATCCGTCCTTATGTTTCCTTGTTTGAAGGAACGGATTTGCTGATGCGCCCAGTCACGCTCAGTTTGTGGTTTGAAGTATTTTTTGATCTCCTTCTTGAGATCATCCCAGGTTGGCCACACTCCCGCGGTGTAGCATTCCTGCAATCTTACTTGTGTGTATCGACCCGCCACAGGTCCTTTTAGTTGAGATAGCATCGCAGTGGCTACCTCAAAATTGTTGGCAAACGAGGTGCGAGGTTAACGTAGCAATCTGTGCATGCATGGCATGCAGCAGACTGTTCATATCTTGTTGCGACGACATGTTGACTTGTTCTCTTTGTAAAGTAAAAAAAAGGTAACTGGGGGTCCCCGCTTGCTATCCGCGGATCAACCTCTTCCCAGCTGAGTAACGGATCTCAATCTCCGACTACCCACACTATAGTATTTGAAATTTATATAAAAAAGTATTCGTAATAAACCCTGGTCCAAACGGTTGTCAGGGGGTGGTGCGCTTGTTAAGCTGTTAACCCTTCTCCAACTGGCGGAGGCAAGTGTCCGGCCTGGTCAGAGGAAAGAGAAAGTGAAGTTTTATATTTTTAATTCTAATCAACAGCGGTTCCACACCAACTGCTGAGCTAAGTACTCCCCTTAACGCTGGGGCCCGCGTATCACAGGTTTTGGTTCTTCTCCCAAAGCACTACAAGGCCGTCGCAAAGAGCGCACCTATCTGCTATGCAGGATATTCCCAACCAATAACCAAATCTCCTTCACCCTGGAGTCCAGGTGCCCAATGGGACTTTTTGCACAAACGTGCGAGAGAGTAGAAGAGCGAGTCCTAATGTAACAACCAAGAGTTAGTTACTCTGGCGCACACAGAACACACTATAAAGAAAATGATGAGGGAGTGGTTACCCCTTAGAATGCAGAGAGTTAGTTGGTATACAGCAGGAGGACTCGCTAAGGAGTCTCCTGGATCTATTGGGGTATATATACTCTACTACAGGGTTATTTGTACATATGTACTGTACAGTTGATAGCGACAGTGGCTGATGATGTCATGGGGCCTAGCCCGCATGGCCAGCTCCACTGTGTGAGAGAGTTGTGTCCAAAATAAGAAGAAAGGCAATGCGGCGTGAGAAAGGGGAAGTGCCGCGTGGCACTATAGTACAAGGTTTAAAGCGGAGAGTAAAAGTAAAGGGAAGGTCCGAAAATTGTGTTATCGTCACAATCTGTACTTTGCACGTGTCTGATTATATGTTCTCCCACAACAAAAACTGCACAACACTGCACGACATTGTTAATCTGTTTATTGCGCAATGCACCTCAATGTGAAGAAGACCCACTGGAACAGGAAGAAGTACAGATGAGAGTGGATCATTCAACGGTACAAGCCATTTGCCACCTAACACAAGCCATCTTCTCACTCTGGCATAGTGAGATATACATCCTGTCATTTCCATGCGGTCCACTCCAGTACGCCTATTTGGTCACGTGCCACAGTCTGGGGTTACCGGGCACTAAAGTATTGATGCTCGGCCTTAATTGCCGGATGTGCTTTAACACTAGTTTTTGATCTGCGGTCATCTCATTAGATCTAATTCTTATCTTATCTACCAGTCCAGTTTACCTAGGCGCCGGGGGTAGATAACCATTTGGGTTAACTTGGAAAATCAAAAATATTGTGTACCTGCAAGCACATATGCACATGCATAAACATTTTATCATAGGTTTATCCGGGGTTAATTCCGCGTACACCGTTCAAAGGTCCCTCTCAGGATCTTTTACGTTATTCTCTAATTCTGTGGATAGAATTTAGAATCTACACCTAATTCAGAACAAGTATTGTTCCCTTACGGGGTTGTTCCTACAGGCATTCTGCGTCTAAAGATAGCTACTAAGTCAGTACCGGGGGGCACGGAGATAATACCAGATGTGGGATATATTCTTTTTAGTTCAATCCCAGCCAATCTCCATGCTTTCGAGAGGCGCCACTAGCTGATCTTTGATCTGATAGGTGCTCTAGTCTACCGGTGCTCTAAGCTCTGGCTTTTCACAATCAGGCAAGACACATTTCCATTTGTTGACTTGCTTAAAAAGATTGTCAGTAACCTTTCTTGACACAAGCCAATGAGAATTGTTTGCAAATTTGAGTTTCCGCACATCTGGTAGATAGAGAGGTAAATGTGTGCAAACTGGACTGCATTGCATGGGCAATGCAAGCTTACATACTCGCCAACGCCAAATATCACAAAGCAGAAGTGAAAGTACAGAAGAAGCGGTCCTTGAAGGCAGACACCAATGTCGTGATGGGAGAAGTGACAGCATCTGGCAGTAAAACTGTGGAGTCCCTTATAGACCGCAAGGTCTCCACAGCCTTCAAGAAGATACAGAAACTCTATAATGTGTGCGTCAAAGAGAGGGTAAGCCTTGATGCTTATTTTCAATCTAGACCGCCCGTAACTTCTTTTTCTCACACTTTTACAGAAGAACAAGGTTGACTTCGTGAAGAGGGCGGCGAAAAGGAGGAGAGAGTCAATGGACCAATTGGAGGGCGCAAGTGGAAGCAACGTGGCCTCTCCCCCTGCCAAGAAAGGCAAAAAGGTGGAGAGCCTTACAAGGGGAAGATCAACAAGGTGAAAAAGGATGGGAAGGGCAAAGGGAAAGCCCCCCGGAAATAATTAATATCTCCGATAGCCGTTGTCACAGGACTCTAGTACAAGATGGTTTGCCCATTCCTAGAGTACCTTTCTACTATACATGGGCACTTTGTGCCGGGACCATTTTCAATTTTACATGGGATGATGAAAAATTCATTTACAATGATTGTAACATATGGCCAGACTTCTTATTAAGTATCCCGGCCCCAGATGCCGTTGGTATTGTCCTAGACCATGTGCCTATCTCAATTCTTGAGGCAGCCAGATTTTGTGGCCTTATACATTTAGGACCCAACATTACCATTCCGACTCATCTTGTTATACACCTAAGTGCGGGAATGAAATACCAATTTGTCCAAGAACGAGACACTCGCTTATTGCTGTCTGCTTACAATGACTTAGATCACCTAAGATGGCAGTTCTTCTTTGGACTAGCAGAAGGAGTGGACCCTAAAAAAGACGCTTATGACCCTGATTACGAGGTAGCTAAAGTTAGAACTACTGCTGAGTTATCATATTAAGGTTACATTGAGCGTGGCTTCAATATTGGAAGAAACATTGTGCAGAACACAATTCTCACCATGCTGGTCGAGACACATGGCAGAGATAGATCCAGAATAACCTTGGATCCGTGCATGGCCGAACTCAAACGATTCATGACCAATAATAACTATATGGTCACGATAACAGATAAAAATCTTGGAATAGCCATCATTAGGAAAGACTGGTTCATAGAAAGATGTTTGTCACTGTTGTCTGACCCCGTGCAATACATGGTCATAAGTCAAAATGAGGCAAACATGATTTTAAACAAACAATGCATACTCTCGCAAGAATGCAGCGATATGGCAGGTGTAACAACCAAAATTTTGATACTCTGGCGCACAAGGCAAAGCTATAAAGAAGTGAGGGGAGTGGTTACTCTTAGGATAGGACCAAGTTAGTTGTGGGTAAACAACAGGAGGACTTGCTGAGGAGTCTCCTTGATCTATTGGGGTATATATACTACTACAGTTTGTTTGTTCATGTGTACTGTACAGTTGATGGAGGCAGTGGCTGATGATGTCATGGGGCACAGCCCGTGTGACCAACTCCACTGCGTGAGAAACTTGTATCTAAAAATAGAAAAGGCAGCACAGTGCGAGAAGTGGAGTTTGAACAATAATGGAAAGTGCCGCATGGCACAGGGTGTGAAAACTACATAAGAAAGTTGAAGAGGAGAATGAAATTTAAAGGTCCAAAAATTGTGTTTATTGTAACACACAATGTGGTCCTGGATAGGTGATGTCCCATCCCAGGACAATTTGTTGAGTTTCTGGAATGAATAGAAGGCCTCGGCAATATTGGACGTCTGATGGAGTGAGACAAGTTTATCAAATAACTCCTTGGAGCTGGTAAGGTCTCCAGTCCTCATTAGTAGGGCATCAGAGATGTGGTCCTGGATGATTCCATGTGCCTTCTCATCCTTAAGTATCCAGGTGATTTCAGGATCCTCCAAGGAGGTGGGTTTTCCTGGTGAGGGCTTAAGCTTCTCTCCAGTAACAACCCGGAAAACTTTTTCCCAACGTAGCTTTGAGATGATCCGGAGTTATATATCTGAAGATTATTGGGTCCAGTGAGAACTGGACATGCGGATGTATCGTGTGCTGTGGTCATGGTTCCAAGGTTGCCATTTCAAATAAGAATTATATCCTGCGTAGCTTTTGCGCCACCTGTTACAATAACACAATTTTTGGACCTTCCCTTTATTTTTATTCTCCGCTTTAACCTTATACTTTAGCCTTCACACATGACGCCACGCAGCACTTCCCCTTTTTATCCAAAACTCCTCTTTCTCGCGCCGCGTTGCCTTGACTTCTAGCTCATGACAAAAATAGATGAGCATAATTGCCAATGCATGAAGCAGTTATAGATTGGATTTGAAGTGTATGATTGTGCAGGTACATTAAGTGTACAGTATACTAGAGGTGTTTTAATCATAGCTGACATCAGAATAAGAGAGCCAAGCAATGACTTAGTGTACAGAGTAAACTTCAGTGGAGTATAGATATCTGGGAGAACTTGGTCTTTTGCCCTTAGATGGAGCAGAGCCTGGTGTCACCTTCAACCAAGAAACAGAAGATATTAGTCTTCCTGAAATTTGGACCTATTACTTTTAAAGCTCACTTGTAGTCCTGCTCCATATACTAACTAATTGCTTAGGTCTATCATTCTGAAGTTAGTTGTGGTACTGCATGTTTGAGTGCTAAACAATGACAAGTAGTAGTAAGGCTTGTAATGAGGAAATAGGTACCTGGAGAAATCTGAATATTGTAACAATAAACAACTGGAAGGTAATGAATACTGTATCATTCTGACCTTAGATGTATGTGAATTAGAGTGTGATATGGTATAATGCTAAGTTCACATATTCATTTGTTGGGATGTGTGAAAAGCATAATTGTAAGACATTTTGGCTCAGCTGTGAGCAAGAACCTCAAATCAATATGTCAAGTATTTGGTTTAGTTTGTTATGGCAGTTGTGCTGTATCAAACCTAAAGGTTGAAATAGTATAATAATTCATATGTACGTCTGAATGAAAATCCATTATACAGAACTACCTAATCACAAGTCAGCCATGTGAGAAAAAGCTAGCATCAGAGCAAAAGCTACATATTTGCATTT